TAATGACCAGAAGAGATTATAGCTTCATTGGAAGCTGCTGGAAAATGTTGAAAAATAAATGTGTTCTGATTGTGACTGGGGAATCTGGATCATGTTCTGGCTCTAAATCCCTCTGTGCCAAACAGACTGTTCTGGAAGTGCTGATCTTTGGACCGAACTCGGGAGACTTTTACCCAGATGTGGGTGTGGCTTCCTGACAGCCTTCCTAATCATGTAAATCTGATTCTCTCCCTGCTTAAGTCGGTGCTTTCTCTTCCCTCTGCCAGACCTGCAGGAGCTGCGCTCCATCATCCAGGAGGTGAAGTACCGCTCTGGGCTGCAGTCCACCAAGCTCATCCGGCAGCTGAAGAGGCGCGACCGACTTTACAACAAACGGCAGAAGAACTATGACATCATCACGGCCTGCCTTCAGGCTGTCTCTCAGAAGCGACGTAAGACTCCAAAAGATTTATTAACATTTAGTTTTATTCAACAATCCCCTTCAGAAGTTTCTGTCTTTATGGAAGTTCTCTGCTTGGTTTCAGTCAGAATAGTTACAGGTATGTGGGAGAAGTTCTCAGGCTATCGGGGTCCATGAAATACAAGAATATGTAATAGTTTGACATTCTTAACTCTTGTTTAAAATTAAAATATTAATGTTCACACATGCAACAAAAAAGGATTTGTATTGTCCTTAACTCGTCAGGATAAGGTTTTGCGTTTTAAACAAATAAACTAATGATTTTCTACTGCTTTAAAATAAATGAACAATATTTATCACAAATCACAATTGTTCATATTTATACCTCATTCTTCTTTCCAAGGGCGCTAGTTTAACAGTTTTCTTCTGATTTCTTCAGGATCTAACGCTGTCTGACATGCTTAGCAAGAGCAGAAAATGCAGCATATCACAAAAAACTGGAGAAGAAAATCTACTGTTCTTCAAAATAAAGCATAAATTAACCACTAGGTGTCACTGCTGGACCAATGCACAAGAACGAGAATTTTGTCGTTTAGTAGTCATTTACACTCCCACCAAATCCTGTCTTGATGATTGAACAGAGTAACATGTAAGGGGTACATTAATTGAACAGGATTTCTAGATTCTACTAAATGAATAGGGTTGCATAAAACCAGCATAGAGTAAATTAACTGTACAAAAGTTCTTCTGTTCTGCTCAATTTCCCAAAAAAAGAACCATTTTCTGGATTGGCCTCTCAATAGAAGAAGAAGAATTGGACTTTCGCTCTTGAAATTGAACTTTGACTCGACGGAGCAATCCATTGCTGGCTTGAACAGTTTCCACCACTCGTCCTGGTTGCCACCGATTTCTTGGAAAGTCGTCGTCTTTGATAATGACAACGTCATCTTTCTTGAGGCTTCAACATAATGCCAATGATTAGGATCGCTGTTATTATCTCTAATCAGTTGGACACGGTTGGTAACAAATATGTGGAACCTGAGGGCATCATTATTGATGTACCCTAGTACAACTCTTGAGTCAGTCCAGAAAAACTCTTGATCAATCTTCAGGTCAAGTTCACATCTTAGCATAACGCTGACCTTTGTAAGAAACCACTGCTGCAAGTTCTAAAAAAAGCTATTTCCTTTTCTCTTTTAACAGCTGCAGTTTTGCTCTTCCTTGATCCAGCTGTTGTTGCATTTCCAATTCTTTTAGCTTAATTTCTGACAGCATTTTTGACTCTAAAGTTTCCATTCGTTTCTAATATTTGAAGCCGTGCTCGCTGCGCTTGAATTTCTTTTGTGGCCTTTGATTGCTCCACTTTAGCAGCAAGCTCTGCTTGTGCATCTGCCTTGCTGGTATTAGTACTAGATGAGCTGGAATGGCTGCTTGAAGTCTCTGATGACTTTGATAAGCTTATGTAGGGCCCTATAAAATCCGTTTTATTTTTTCCCAAATTCCGTTTTTTCCATTTTATGTATGTATTTTTGCGCTTCCAATCAATGGAATGTTGACTTGCAAAACGATAGTTCACCTGACACGTAAAAGTCACGAGGGAACTGCTCGGCTCTATACTCAGGGCTTAGCGTCGTGTTTCTCAACTTTTTTGCCGAAAGCTGAGCTGTGGAGACCCGCGTCGCCATTTTTTTTTCAAATTCTGATGGTTGTGTCGCCCGGATTTGCGTCCCCGGTGCGCATTTCCCCCCGACGTACGTTCTTCTCCCACACAAAAACAGAATTTCATTTCAAATGTAGAAATTTCGCGTTTACACTAGATTCCGCATTAATTTGAGAATTCCGCGATTCCGTCCGTGATCGCGGAAATTATGGGGCCCTACTTATGGTTTCAGTTTGAATCTGACCAAAGATAGATCCATATTCATCTTTGTTTAATGTTACTCTTTCATTCTCAAGATGACTAAAATAATCTTTATCAATAGTCTCTGTACGATTATTTGAGGTCACAAATCTCTTTTGTAAGCGTAACGCAAGCTTCCATCTTTTTAACAACCTCTGCTGTGGTGTTACTGTTTGTAAAATGGGTTCGTCCTGCAGTCTTACTGCAGCATACTTTGCTTGAATACTTTCCTGTAAAACACTGAGTTCTTCTAATGTACAGAGGGCCTTTTCCTAGTTTCTCTTGCCACCCACTTCCAAGAATCATAGGCCTTGTGGAACGCTTTCTCACGTTTTATGTTCTCCAGTATGTGCATCTCTTGGCATTTTTCTGTTGGTTTTCTTTCTCTGGAGCTAGACCTAAGTGGCATGTCTACAGGATTATCTGTTTTCTCTGTTGGAAGTGATATTTTATTTCCTTTCTTCAACTGCTTTGGATTCAACGAAGACTTTCTATTTATCCATTGCCTCCCTATTCCAATTCAGGTATGTTGTGAGCTTGTTCAGGTGATGGTCCATTTTTTAATTATATGCTTTATCTTGCCTGTGTGAGATCCTTGGTGCTAGTAGAGACAGTTGGGTTCCAGATGGGATGGTGTCAGCTTCACTGTAGAGAGATCTGGTCTCTTGCAGTGAGTTTTCACTGTAGCAGCCTCTTGGAATTAGCAGCCAGACGCAGGGAGTTCAAAAACTGAAACCTGTAGCATGAAATACAAGAATATGAAATAGTTTGACATGCTTAACTCTTGTAACATTTAGTTTTATTCTTGTAAAGTATTAATGTTCACACATACAACAAAAAAGGATTTATATTGTCCTTAACTCGTCAGCATAAAGTTTTTGTGTTTTAAACAAATAAACTAATGATTTTCTACTGCTTCAAAAACAAATTAATAACTTTTATCACAATTGTGCATATTTATACCTCATTCTGCTTTCCAAGTGTGCTATTTTAACAGGTTTCTTCAGGATCTAACGCTGTCTGAACATGCTTAGCAAGAACAGGAAGTGCAGCATTTCACAAAAAACACAAGAAGAAAATCTACTGTTCTTCAAAATAAAGCATTAAATCAACCACTAGGTGTCACTGCTGGACCAATGAACAAGAAGTAGAATTGTATCATTTCGTAGTTATTTACATCTGTAGCTCTGGTGTGGACATAAAAGTCTAAACAGTCTGTGTGGGATCTAAATTTGAGGTCTGAATGGTTGTTTTTCAGACCTGTAGAAAGAGCTAATCTAAACCAGAGAGTGTTCTCCTTGGTCCTTTGCTGAAGAGCTCCTCTTTAGCTTCTAGATATATAGATCTAAAGGCAGAGTTAGGGAGGGAGCTGATTGCGCCCATATGGATGTAATTCTCCAGTTCTCATATAAACCAGAAGTTGGCAGCACTGAGAACACCATGTGAAAAGGGTTAGGGTTCTACTGTGACGGTTCAGAGTTAGGGTTCTACTCTGCCTGTTTTTGCCTAGGGCCCCAACGTTTCTAAATCCGACCCTGCTTATACAAAACTAACCCATAAAAAGTATGCCAGCAGTTTTGCCAGATTTCTCGTACAACAGGCATACGCTGGTTAAATCGTCACGGTGTGACAGGGGCTTGCGCCCAAAGATGTCAGGGACTTGGTTTCTAATAAGTTTTTGAATCTCTAAAGCTCATGAAATAAGTCAGTGTGACCTTTTGACTTCTTTACAGGGAGATTATCCACTGGATTCCTGCTTCTCCTGATAAATAAATTTTAAATTTTAAAAACTCCTTTTGGTATTGTCAATGTTGTTTCTATTGTTTGTCCAAATCATAGGCGGTTCTGGACGGGGGCCAACGGGGGCCAGTGCCCCTGTAGATCCCGTTATGGCCCCTGTACCAAAGACGTAATACTCAAAGAAATTCTAATGATGATATGTGCTGGAACAACCATGGTTACTGATCTATTTCATCTTTTTTCTTTACCAATTCTGTTTTATAAATTATTTAAAAACAATAAGGTGATGGCTTCAGCAGTATTGAGATAGGATCCCAGGTTTCATCTGCTAAATGTTCTTTTCAAAACAAATTTTAAAAAAACAGCTGAATGTATCTGTTTTTCTCGAGCCTTAATTCTGATTTTACAGAAAACGGTCATTTTAACTTAAGCCGGGCGTACACTGTGTGATTTTTCTGTAATGTTGCACGCAGCTACAATTCACACTGTACAACCAAACCTCAGGCACTATCAGGCTACATGCGGCCCGATCGAAAAATTCTTGCATGACTGGAAAGTCAGCCCAAAAAGGGCTAAAAAAAATCGCACAGTGTGGGCCCGGCTTTAAATTAAGTTAAAATATGTAAAATTCCTAAATTATGAATGTATATAAGGCATAGAACTTTAATTAAACCTAATTGAATAGAATTATCCAATTAATGCAGCTCTCTTTTAGCCTAGTAAAGTAGCCCCACCCGCCAGCGGCCAATATCTAGCCTCGATCAATGCCCCAGGCCCTGGAACCGGCGGACCAATCACAACGCAGGGATGTGTTTTCAATATCTGGATGCAAAGCGGGCGGGGTTTGAGGGCGTGACGACAAAGACTTGGGGTTTTCGTTAAAACGCGTGCAGGAAGTGGCTATTCGTTCTTCATTTTTAAGGAGGACGTATTCGTGGTTTTACCGACAGGCTGTTTGTTTACACTTCCCCACCAGCTTCCTGTCACACTTCCTACGTCACAGTCAGTGGCTCTCATTGGTCAGAGCGTTGGCCAATAGGCACAGACATGGTTAGAAAAGCAATGATTGTTCTCATCAACAATCTTCTAATGTCTCATTCATCAGGGCCAGACTAAATTACACATTTAATCTCACATTTAGTCTGGTTCATCAGGCTCTTTTTATATTTGAATCCCCCACCCAGCCCCCTCTCTACATCTGGTGTAGAACCGCCCCTGCTCCAGCTGGCTTTAACAGGAACGGACGGATCGATCATCCATCTTCCTCCCTTCCCTCCTCCTCCTCCTAGTTGTCGTCACCAGGAGGAGGAGGAGGAGTGCAGCATCAGCATCGCTTCCTGCTCTGATGTTTTCCAGCTCCTGGTTCCTCCTCTGAACCTTTGATCGATGCTTTTTGGAGCCGCGCCGATCGTCGCTCCGCTCCGCATGGAGCCGGGCTGTCTGGGAGGAGGCGGCAGGCGATGAGCTGACTGTCCGCAAGGAGAGCTTTGATTCCGGGATGAGGCCGGTGCGGCTCCCCGCCGGCAGGAGGCCTCGCGCCGCCGGCAGGCAGCGGCAGCAGGGCGGGGTGGGCAGCATCATCAGCAGCGTCCTGAGGAAACGGGACGGGATCTCCAGGAGCGCTCCGCGGCTGCTCTGCACCCTGGAGCCAGGTGCGCAGCTCCTGTCTGGACCTGCTGGTTCCGACAAATAAAAGCCCTGTTTAGAAACATTTAATAAGAAACTGGATCCTTAAATGAGACCGATAAACTTTGAGTTTAACCCTTTCCTTTTTAAATCAAATCAAAGCTTTTTTTATTATTATTTCTGCTCGGATGCAGAACTCCGGCTTTTATTTTAGATTTTACTTTGATTATAAACCACTTCCGGTTAGGTTGCGCGGTGGAGCCACTGTAATCCCGCTGCAGTGTAGGAATATAATCCCATAGTGGGAGGAGATTTCCAGGTTAATCCTCCATCGGAACCGAGAAGCGAG